AATATCTTGAACACATGATAGGAATAGAAACACATTGCAACAAAGCTGGACACACCAGGAGTGGTTACCCTCCACGCTTGGACAAGGTGCAATGGTAGAAAGGATGTGATATGAAAAATCATTATGACAATATTCATCAAGGCAAGCTTAATCTTTCTCGAAGTGTTACTATTTTCCCCGCTTGTGAAAAAAGGAGGGAGGCTTCTCACGTACTTCCTGATCTTGTAGAAGAGTCTGGCAGTGACACACACGGGCACTAACGTAACATTTGTAATACAAATCACACCAAACCACCAGTTTCTGCTTGTGTAGGTTGGAAACCATCTGAGGAGTCTTTCGTCCCAAACGTAAAAGTCATTTGTTGTGTAATGAAGGAAGGGTAATGCAAGGTTGAACAGCCATGAAAACAGGATGACTTTGGTCAGTTTCCTCCACGACATATGAAGTCGATAAGTAAGATGCTCACATGTTGCAAGGTAGAGATTCCAGCCGAACGCCATTATACTGTAAGCGACGATGCCATTGAAAGCTAACCCAAGAGAAGTCAGAATTCGGATAAACTCTGGCGATATGATCATAGTTTGCAAGGGTATATGAATATAGATTAAACTGGTACTTAGCTCCAAACAGATATCCGCCACAGCCTGATTTATGAGCAGCTTCCCCGAATATCCCCGCAGAGCTTTAGTTTTCATAGTCGTTACAATGATGACTCCATTGCATATTATGCTCCAGATGTTGAAGGATAGCGTTAACGACGTCATAGGTAAGGAGGGGCTCCTGGAGGTGTCGTTTCCAGCCATGGTATATACGTTATGTGAACTGTATAGTGTTCAACTATATCAAAGCTCAGTAAAAGATTCTCCTTCACCAACCCACGACTGATAGGGTGTAAGATGTATATTCTCACAGCGACTAGATTATGAATCTGCAGGTGTGTCGAAGGTAGGCGAGGCACTTCTTAAATCGATAGATTCCTGACGCGTTGACTTTCTGATACTTTCGCTCGGAACAACTTATTACGAAGAAATATTTGTCTGAAGAGAAATTTCCATGAACCCCTTGAACCAAAATGGTTAGCCCCGGCGTGTTTGTAACCAATTATTCGTCTCTCTAATGACAAGAAAAGTGAACTGATACGAAGGTGATTACTTCTTGACGAATGTCGACTTGGCGAACCGTTGATGGCAATAAGACGCTCGTATGTCACATCCGCCCGAAATATGCTTCAACAAGGCCTCAGATGCAGGTTAATGAAGTCATAAATTCAACTATTCAGCGAGGCAGCCTGATGAATGTACCGGTAATGTGGAACCACCGCATGGCACTCTTCCTATCATTAATAATACCTTTGAACACCTGGAGCCAACAATAATTAATGTTTGATACATGTTTAAGTTTTTGTCGTTTTGTTGACTTTTAACGCAGCATCGTTCTATCTATATGATGGAGGTGTGTAAATAACCGAGTCTGGACCAGACAATCCAGTGACCGACGTCATGAGCATCGATCAACGCGGTTTTGATATGATGGCATGCATCAACCAGGTCAGCGCGCCTGACCACCCGAGCCCGTTAAACCACCTCTTACGACTAGCATGTTTTGTTGAAAATCCGTTCTGACCGGGTAGGGCAAATTGAGTCGTCGCATATGATATGATCTTGACAAACATACATTACATAGAGAATACTAAACGAGTGTCTGTCAGATACCATTTATCTTACAACGAGTTGTTTCAAAACGTATTTAACGAGCGAAAGCGAGTTAAATACGTGTCGTATCAGCTATTCTAGTATGAACTGTACAACCCTAAATGGGCCTCTATCCCCAACAGGGCCCCAGTGCTATTTATAGTGTGAGGGGGAATAACTCTGATTGCCCTTGTTCTAGGCAGTTGAGAGCACATGGCCACTGCCTTGCCATGCTTGTTATGTAAGCCCATCTTGAGCTAGAATAAACCCACATACTTCAGTGATAGTTGTCCTTCATATCACCACATGGTGTCAGAAGTGGTTCAAAGCTCATCATGGCAAACTTTCAGATCACTCCACCTGAATCTTTTGACTTTTCTAACCCTGAAAGTTGGACTCGTTGGATCAGAAGATTTGAGAGATACCGGATCACTTCCAGGCTATCTACTAAGGACTCTACAACTCAGGTGAATCAGTTATTGTATCTAATGGGTGCTGAAGCAGATGATATTCTCCCTACGTTTTCTCTCAGTGAGGATCAAGAAAATGACTATGATACAGTAAAGCAGAAATTTGATGATTATTTCTCAGTGCGCAGAAATGTGATATTCGAGAGGGCGAAATTCAATCAGCGATGCCAAAAAGAGGGAGAGCCTGTTGATTCCTTCATCACTGATCTGTATTCTCTTCTGAAAATTGCAATTATGGTTCTCTTCATGACGAGATGATCCGAGACAGAATAGTTGTTGGAATTCGTGATATGAGACTGTCAGAAAAACTCCAGCATGATTCTAATCTCACTCTACAGTCTGCTGTTAGTCATGTGCGCCAGTCAGAAATTATTCACAAACAGCAACCAGTTATTCGTGGAGCTACAAGTAAGCCTGATGTAACTAGCAATTCCAATGTGGAGGAAGTAGTGTCTCCATCAGCAAAATCCAAGAGATCACAGCACAAGCCAAAATCAAAGAAATCTTGTCCATTCATTGATCGCTCCAAGCCTAAACCAACATGCAAATATTGTGGAAAGAATTCTCATCCTAGAAGTGAGTGTCCTGCATCTAATTCTACATGTCGCAAATGTGGTAAAGCCGGACATTGGGATGTTGTGTGTCGAAGTTCTAAATCTAGACTGTCAGAAGTCAGATCTACTCCGAAGTCTCCTACAAATGAGCCTGAGTATGCCTTTGTCGGGATGCTCAGCACAAGTTCATCTCAGCCATGGACTGTAAACCTGAAGATAAATTCATCTGTCACAGAAGAATTCAAGATCGACACAGGGGCTGACGTTACGGTAATTCCGTATGATGTCTACACATCTCAGTATCTTCCCCGTCTACGGAGAAGCGACAAAAGGCTGTATGGTCCCTCAAACTCCTGCTTGAGTGTTGTTGGAAAGTTTCGCGCCAAACTCAAGTGCATAAACAGGGATGTTGAAACAGAACAAGACATATATGTCGCCAGAGGTCTCAAACGTTCTCTACTTGGTAGACCGGCAATCGAAGGACTGCACCTCATCGAACTCATTGATAGTGTTACAGGTGACAAATGGAAGGAACATTTCCCTGAACTTTTCTGTGGATTAGGGAAAATGGAGGGCGAATACACCATCAAACTCAAGGAGAATGCAAAACCTTTTGCAATTTCTACACCTAGACGTGTACCACTTCCTCTCATGGACCGCGTGAAACGTGAACTTCAGTCTATGGAAGACAACGGCGTCATATCGAAGGTCGATGTTCCTACCGAGTGGTGTGCCGGTATGGTAGTGGTTCCCAAGTCCTCGGAAAAAGTAAGGATTTGTGTTGATCTCACCAAACTAAACGAATCTGTGAGACGTGAAAATCATCCACTCCCAGCTGTAGATCACACTCTCAGTCAGTTAAGCGGAGCAAGAGTATTCACCAAACTTGACGCTAACTCAGGATTCCATCAACTCCTATTGTCTGAAGAATCCAAACTTCTCACTTGTTTCATTACACCTTTTGGTCGATATTGCTTTAATCGACTCCCGTTTGGCATTTCGTCTGCACCTGAACTCTTTCAGAAGAGAATGCAACAAATCTTAGAAGGACTGGATGGTGTCGTTTGTCAAATGGATGACATTCTCACATATGGGCGTGACGACAATGAACACGATCAGCGCGTTGAAGCAGTCTTATGCAGACTTCGGGACGCAGGTGTAACTCTCAATAGTGACAAATGTCAGTTTTCCAAATCACAAGTGAAATTTCTCGGACACATCATCGATCAAAGTGGTATTCGGGCCGACCCAGATAAAATCAGCGCTATTTTCGAAATGCCAGAACCACAGAATGTCTCAGATATCCGAAGGTTTCTCGGAATGGTCAACCAACTTGCAAAGTTTGTTCCAAATCTTGCCTCCATCACGCAGCCTCTTCGTGAACTCCTTGTCAAGGACCGACAATGGATATGGGAGGAACCTCAGCGAGCTGCATTTCAGTCAATCAAATCTCAACTCACATGTGCTCCAGTTCTTGGACATTATGACCCAAATGCAGAGACAGTGTTGTCAGCCGACGCATCTTCCTATGGATTGGGTGCGGTAATCTCACAAAGATGTGACAATGGAGTGCACAAACCAATCGCATATTGCTCCCGCTCGATGACAGAGACAGAGAAGCGCTACGCACAAGTAGAAAAGGAAGCACTAGCCATTACTTGGGCATGCGAACGTTTCCGAGATTATCTACTGGGAAAATACTTTCACATCAATACTGACCACAAACCTCTTCTCGCTCTTCTTGGTAACAAGTCTCTTGACCAACTCCCACCAAGAATACAACGATTCAGAATGCGCGCCTCATGGCATATTCATATGACATTTCTCATGTTCCTGGGAAGCAGTTGTATTCTGCAGATGCGCTCTCCAGAGCTCCTCTTAACTTGCCACTCTCCACTGTGGAATCTTGTCTTCTAGCGGACACAAACATCTACGTTGACTCAGTCTTAGCAAACTTACCTGCTTCTGATCAGCCTCTGGATGAAATTCGTCTCAAGTTGCGCCAAGACCCTGTCTGTTCACTCATCATGAAATACTGTCTCGAGGGATGGCCAATTTATACATCTCTTCCAAACTGCACAAGATCTTACTGGCCTTATCAAGGAGAACTTTCCGTGGTCGAAGGGCTCTTACTGTTCGGAAAAAGGCTAGTAATTCCATCTTGCATGAGAGCAGAAATGCTTGATATCATTCACTCTACTCACCAGGGCATAACCAAGTGTCGTGCTCGTGCAAAGGAATCTGTATGGTGGCCAGGACTTAGTTCTCAGATCGAACAAATCGTTATGAGTTGTCGTACTTGTGCTCGTAGTCGACCTAACTCTCATGAGCCACTCATCCCGTCAGAAATTCCTACTCGTCCATGGAGTAAGGTATCCACTGACCTGTTTGAAATCAATTCAAGTCCATACCTGCTTGTCATAGACTACTACTCGAAGTACATCGAGATAGCCAAACTCTCCAGTACAACTTCAGCATGTGTTGTAAACCATCTGAAATCCATCTTTGGAAGACATGGAATTCCTGATATCGTCGTCTCTGACAACGGTCCTCAGTACTCGTCGTACACCTTCAAGACTTTCTCAGAGGACTACCGTTTCAATCACATCACGAGCAGTCCGAGATATCCTCAAAGCAACGGAGAAGCCGAAAGAGCTGTCAAAACCATCAAACAGACTTTGAAGAAAGCGACTGACCCATATTTGGCATTGCTAACTTACAGAAGTACGCCTCTGCAATGTGGTTACAGTCCAGCGCAGTTGTTGATGGGACGTAATCTACGTACAACTCTTCCTGTTCATCCATCACAACTTGAACCTCATTTGCCTTCTTCACAAGAAGTTGATTCATCTTTCAAGCAATCTAAACAGCGACAAAAGTCTGACTACGACTCACGTCACAGAAGTCGCAATCTTCCACCAGTAAAGGAGGGAGATAAGGTGTTAGTTGATGATCCTGAAGCAACTCGGGAAGCCGAAGTATACAAGAAAGCAAACACTCCACGTTCTTACTACGTGAAGTCAGGCGACAATCTCCTGAGAAGAAATCGAAAACATCTTGTATTGTTGCCACCACAACTGCAGTCAACTTCACATCGCTCAGAACTACTTCAATCTCCAGTCTCCACTCAGCCACAGTCAAGCAGTGACATTCCTCCAAACAGTACAGTCACCAGATCAGGAAGGGTGTCCACCAAGCCAAACAGACTTGACCTGTAGTGCAGTGTAGTGTGTGTCAAGCCAGACCAGTGACTTTTAAAGTCTAGGGTTCTAGGGATAAGATAAATCTATCCTAGTGTTCTTTTTCAGCTTATGGACATTTAAATGTGCATGCCACTTAGCATAAAAGTTATTTCTTTGATTATTTCATACACAGCCATGTCCACATTAAGTTACTCGTTATTTCTGGCTTGTTCACTGATAAGTGTTCTATTCTTACAAAGGGGGATGTGGTATCAGCTATTCTAGTATGAACTGTACAACCCTAAATGGGCCTCTATCCCCAACAGGGCCCCAGTGCTATTTATAGTGTGAGGGGAATAACTCTGATTGCCCTTGTTCTAGAATAAACCCACAGTTGAGAGCACATGGCCACTGCCTTGCCATGCTTGTTGTGTAAGCCCATCTTGAGCTAGAATAAACCCACATACTTCAGTGATAGTTGTCCTTCATATCACCACACCGCCATTTGCACTCATGAAGCCTAGCAAAACGTTCCATGTTGATACATTGTTTCAACGAGTGTGTTTTTGTTCTGATTGTCATGGGTGAATTTGATAACATTGGAATCACATAGTAGCTCGAAGTTGGAAGTGGGTCTTCATCATACTGTATCAGTGAAAAATGTCATCTTCATCAATGCATCAAAGAAACAACGAGGCAAATCGATCTCACAATGGACAGGCACTGACGTTATCGCGTCAGGTATTTTTGCAAGACGATACATGACACTTGTCGCATCTCTCCAGTAAAAGTACCAATGTTGTACATTTTGAATATTCGAAGGGAATCCCGGTCTTAATTTCTAACGGCGATTTTCACATAATTGTTTACACAGGTATCACTGATTGTTCGAGCCATTTTGAATTCATGACTGGAAATCTAAAGTGTTAATAAAGGAGTAACAGGTTTCTGTTCGATTGAAGCCCAAGTAACTTATCAATGAATTTTAATCAGGAAAGTAGTCCGTCATAACCTGACCCTAGGTCATCACCATGGAGTAGCCAATCACGGGATTAAAAATCGATCTCACACATATGTGTGATACCAGTTTTCTCACATGGGTTTCTCACCCACGGGTGTGTAAGAAAAAAAAGATTACAGTAGGGCAGCATTTCCAGTATAGAGTAGAAAGAATAAATTAACATCTAAATATTCTACCCTTAAAACACTATACATATATTATGCTACCTTGATCAGACTATGAACTTCTTAACATATTCGCAGTCACTGTCGCAACTAGAATTGTACTACGTGCCAGTGGCTTTTGGGTGTGGAACAAAACATATCCGGGTTAGAATTGGTCTTCAGCAACCCATGCTTGTTGGAAGAAGGGACTAACGAGATCGGGTGCTCAGGCTCGCTGACTTGGTTGACACGTGTTATTGTTGATCACTGGATTGAGTGGCCGAGACTCGATTATTTACATACCACTGCCATATAGCTGGAATATTGCAGAGTGCGGCGTGAAACTAAACTCACTCAATCCAATACCGTCAGAAGTGATAACATATACAGCCAAACACTAACACTTACTGCTATAAAATATATATTGCTGAGTTTAGCGTTTAACTGTACAGTCACAGATTTTTTGTGGAAAGGGTTTTGACAATTTAATTACTAATTACTAGTTACTAATACCAGAAACTAATATCTCTTACAATTTCTGAATGTTAAGCTATTGCCGATTACGTTCCTACTTTTAAAAGAGTATTTTCACACAATAAATATGGATGTCAACCTGTATCATCGTACTGTTCAAGCATATATTTAGTATTGGTTGCCAAATCTATAAATCTATATTATGCTTGATATATTCGTGTCTATCATAAATTGATAAACGTTGTGTTGAACAACATATTTCTTTCCTTAAAAATGGTGATAGTTTCATGACATAAATTTAAATCTTCAAGACATTATATGTCAAGTTTGGTTAATCAAGAATTCACTGTATATTACAGTAGTTCCGTATTTCTTTTTCCGTCATACGAATTGTGAAATGTCACATGAAAAGTGCTTTGTGACATCTCCCTTTCCTATAATAAATATATAAATGACAGAATGACGAGAAATAATCACGAACAAGTTCGATTTCAGAAATATACTATCCCCAAAAAGAAACGCATAGGCGTTTTGTATTTTGAAAAATTCTAATAATTACCTATTGTGCTGAAACAATCATCAAAATTTGTAACAAAAGTGTTGATAACATGATTTTACACAATTGCACAAGTGAAAAGTCGACTTTACCTGAAAATGTTGATTTTGATGAGATTTCTTACAAGAATTAAAAAGTCATCGCCACAACGCAACAGAAATCACCGTATAGTTGAATTGTGCAGCAAAGAGCATGCACCGTCTGGCTATAAATATCCAGATTACTTTCGGAAATCGGCATCCGTTTTGAAGGCGTTTCAAGGTCAAATCACCAAGCCAAGTCTTGACGCTGCGACACGGAACATCGCCATTGAAAGAATGCACGCTGCAGATTACCAATTTCTGTTGCCAGGCGTCTCAATGTTAGTTTGAGCACGATATCACGGCTTGCACCACATTACAACCTAACAGGTATAACAAATGACCGTCCCCGTACAGGCAGACCTCGAGTCACCACTGCAGCCCAAGATCGGTACATCCGGGTACTAAATTTGCGTGATCGTATTGCCACGTGTAATAGCACAGCAACCAGGGTGCCTGGACGTCGGAGGATATTTGGTCAAACTGTACGGAACGGGCTGAGTGAGATTGGACTGAGAGCCAGGAGACCTGACGTCGGGACCATGCTACGTCGTCACCATCGCGCTCAACGTATCCGTTAACTAAAATTATTCACATGGTTGTATAGACACTACCTTCTTCTAAACAGATGTCAAACTGCATTTCTTAAAGTCTATTTGTGGACATTTTCGCATCAGACTTCTGGGTTATGCGTTTTTCTTGTTTGGAATAGTATATATTGGTTTATTTAGAAGTTAGTTTGTGTTCTGTACAATAGTTGATGCCTAAGGTGCGAATCTTGTCAAATACAATTAATGTAATAACTATATTTCATATCATTAAAAGACATTGCTAAAAGTGAAAAATTCCCATAAATATATTGCATCTTGTGTAAAGAAAGAGTCAAATCCAGGTGTATCGTTTTTCTGATATCACAAAAAGTAGACATATCTCATAACGTGAAACAGAAAACGTATACAAACTTTGATGAGACTAACACTGTTCACATACGGCATACCGGCACGTGCCGCACACACACACACTTACATGCACACAGACACGCACCCACAAAGACACATTAAGAAACACACACAAACACATAAAGAAAATCATCATTTTGTTGAACTGCAAGGCATGATATCAGTCACATGCTGGTAACATATCAGTCATATGCTGGAAACATACCAGTCATATGCTGGTAACATATCAGTCATATACTGGTAACATATGAGTCACATGCTGGTAACATATGAGTCACATGCTGGAAACATACTAGTCATATGCTGGTAACATATCAGTCATATGCTGGTAACATATGAGTCACATGCTGGTAACATATCAGTCACATGCTGGTAACATATTAGTCATATACTGGTAGCGTGTTATTAAATCTCTGTATAAGACAGTCCTATAATCTTATTTCACACAGACTTGGTGAAGATAGCTTCAGAGAATGTAATCATGAATGCACGATGTGCAAGACATCCACAAAAAGGGTTAGACTAAATTCAACAAAGGGGGACAACTCCTACGAGACAACATGCACGGATAAGTTTTGCTTCTGTTGAAAAGTAACAGATCAGTCATATGCTGCACAAAATACAACAGCCAACATACCGCCTATCATACGATTATATGTTACAGCGCAATGCACGTATTGGAATCACTCAAGGGGAACCATATATTCACTTTCACGGGTAAACACGTTATTAGGAAGAACTTGCATAGTTTTAAAGTTCCATTTCTGTTGTCTGACGCCGGGATATCGATAAATCTATAATTTTACTAAAAGCGTCGTAAAACCATACTTAATGACTGTTAATCAGTTACTCCGTGTGCTGGTACAGCAGACATTGTTTCGTTGAACTTGGCATGTGTGTGTAGCTCAATATTTCGAGATATGAGACATGTTGTGTTAAATATAGATCATGTGTATACTTCCATGTGTTAATATATCAGGAAATGTTATCTTTGCAAGCGTGTGCGTGTGCGTGTGCGCGCTTGCACGTGTCTATAGTGCTCGGTACTGAGATACCATGCCGCAGTTAACATACACGCCATGAAGACTCCCGGTCCATGTTTCATACGCTTATTATCGAACGCAAGGGAGAGGAAACAGCAAGTAGCAAATTTTAACGTGTTTTGGTACTAATCGAACGGGAATCGACCCACAGAACACCCGTTCTCCAGATAGCCGATTATCTATCCCATGGGCCACATGGATATACACTGTTATGAATAATATTCATGCCAACAAAATGTTTGGAACAAACCCAATCTGACCGATTGACTCCCCTTTGTATGTGTTTGTTTTAGATGCCACCAGTCGGGTATCGTGAGCACTTGGTACCATAGGTTTTGTACAGTGATCCTTAAATATGCCAGTGATATAGCCAGAAACACTTAGTCGAATCAAGATAAGTAGATAGTTATGATGGTTATGGTTTGTCACAGAGAAATATAAAATACGCACTTCGAGCTTTAAGATGTCTCGAGATATGGACGTATCTACATGTGTACATATCAGGTATCGTCACAGATAAATCAAGTAAACGCTTAGTGCTTGGATACATAGATCTGCAGGTATGAAACATATTGATTATTTGGGGATCCACACAATTATCAACAATGCTGAACATGTCTAGAATCCTCATTTAGTTGGGAGACTAACATATATATTTTACAGTTATTCATAACATTCATTTCTAGTAAATGTTTTGATAACCCTTTATAAAAGCACCTGGTGTCATCACTGATTTTCAGGGATTCCTTCACACGATATT